GGTGATGAACTGTTACTCTTGTATATACGAGTCAAATGTTAGACAATATCAAATTTCTTTTATTTTAACTAACTTATTCTAAACTCAACAGTGTAACAGAGTGTCCATAAAGTCTTTGAAATGAAACTTTTCTCGTATCCTTTCATCCCATGACTCCACTAATTGAGGCTTATGTTATACGTTAACAAGTAGTAAAATAATGTACAACTGGGACAATAAATTAAAGTCTCAAGTCTAAATTATAAACTACTAGACACTTTCACAGAAGTTTAATAATATTTATTTACGAGAGTAAAGTCATTGATCAATGAATAAGAAAAGGATGGGTCTTTATTTTCCACAAATCTGCTTGGAAAGATTCATGTGAACGAGAAGAAAAGGGGTCTTATTTTCCACGGATAAAGAAAATGATAATAAAAACAAAGAGGGAAAGAGGGAGAAAGGAGTGATTTGTTTTGAGCGGAAAATAAAATTCACTGCAAGACGATACACTCTCGCTTTCTCTCTCTTGTTTTGAGCTTAGGAATTTGCGGGAACTTCAGGAAAACCCAGAAATGAATTGGGCGAAACAATAGGGAAAACGCAAAACCCACAAGAATTCCCGATGAAAGCTCCTCACTTGAGCTTCAACATCATCGTCATCACACTGTCCCTTTCCATCGCAGTCAAAACGGCAAAAAGGGTCAACACCACTCAATTCCGCACCACAAATGAATCCAACAAGAGAAGAATCCTCCACCAGCCATTGTTCCCGGCGACTTCAGCTCCACCTCCACAGCCACCGCAAACTCCTCCATCATCGGACGGCGGCACCATTCCCTTCTTCCACGAGTACACGGCGGGACCAGCACCCCAAGATCACAGCCAAACAGCACCCTCATCATCATCGAACAACGCAATCACAATCCCAACAGAAACACAGGCAACAAATGCATCAGAGAAGGTTGCAATCGCAATCTACGTTGGGCTTGTAACGCTCGGAATGCTCTCAGCACTCGCATTCTTCTTATACAGACACAGAGTAAAACACCCTTCGGAGATTCAGAAACTGGTGGGTGGGAACAATACCCAGAGAAACCCCGAAAATTCAATAGCGCCACAATCGCGCTTCCTCTACATTGGCACGGTGGAACCAACGCGAACATCAACAACATTGAACGAAGCAAGACACAGAGCAACGAGAATCGCTCTATGGGTATTACACGCTGGCTTCCTAGATACCCCGTTGAGGTCTCCACCACTCACCGAAACAGCTAAGTCATCTCTTGTCTCAGAGATTTAGGAGCTCAATGCAAACCACAAAACAATGACTTCCATTAGAGAACAAATAAAAATGTGAAGAAGACCACATTGACAAAGTTGAGAGCTTTTAGAGAGAAGTTGTGTAGCTGTTGTTCTTACTAGTAAGACCCGACGAACAAAGAAAGAAGAGAGGAAAAAGCAACCCCATCTTCAACGTTTCTCAAGAACAGAACCACACTTTTCAAACAATTTGGTCTTGCTCGGTAGTTATAGGCTCTTACCCTTTACTTGTATACTGGAATGGAACTTTCTGAAATTGCTCGGTAGTTTTTCTGCAGTTCATGAATTTCCCTGCCAATTACTCGCTTTGCCTTTTCTAACAAATGTTTGTTTCCTCCCAAATTTAGAAATAAGGAACTAGACTGCTTAATTTCGAGATACGGTTTACAGCAATCAATCAGTTTTAATTTAATAGGAAGGAACTGAGGGCCAAAAATTATCAGGGATTTTTTCTTTTCCCCTGCCTCTGGTTAGTAACATATAAACAAATAATTTAGGGCGTTTTTAAGTGTGCTAATATCGATTTTGAATCTCTCATCTCGACTTGGAATTTCAGTTAATTCAGTTGGGTTAAATATTTTAAGAGAGAATTTCACTTCCTGTAACAGTTCTATTTCACTCATACAAAATTATCTTCAACTTCAAAATCTTTAAAAAAATCATGTTATTATTTATGTAATTATTACTCTTTGTTAAAAAAAAAAAGACAGAGGTTAAGGGTACTCGTTAAAACGATGCTTATGCAAAAAAAAAAAAAAAAAAAAAAAAGATGTTTAGAATGTTATTTTTTTTTTTTTTTATAATCAATGTAAGTAACTAGAGCTTTTCTTATATGGAAAAAAAAACCTAAATATAGTGTTTTAAAAAAATGAAAAAAATATGAACAATTTTTAAAAATCATCACTGACATTTCTTAGTATTTTAAAAAAAAAAATTGTTATTGACAAATTTTGACTTTTTATAGTTATCATTAGTGATTTTTTATACTTTTATTTCTTTTTTCATCTCGGTACATGTATCATTAGTAATATTTCAACTTTATATTTTCATAATTTTTTCAAAAATACTATTTTAGTATATATTATATTTTAAAATCCATATCTAAAATAATTAACCAATTAGATCAATACTTGTATCCATTTTTTTATTTACTTATACAGATATAATTCATAAATCCATTTTTTTATTTACTTATACAGATATAATTCATAAACATTCAAAGTCTGCTCTCATTTAATATTTTTTTTTATTTTGATCACGTCAAACTCTTTTTTTCTTTTATTTTTTCTCTAAATATAAATACGTACATTCTCCTTATTTATATTACTTTATCTCCTTCCATTAGTGTATTAAAAAAATGGAAAGTGGGTTATAATCTTTTTTGTAAAAACAATTTAAAGGTAATCCCGTAGATAGAAGTGCCAAAATGCAGAGTTTTGAAGAAAGGCATAACTTTAATCATGTGTTTTGGGAAAAGGGTAATATTAATAGCGGAGGATAAGATTGTCTTTGCGCAGTGGAGGTGTCGAAATAGAGACAAAAGTAAAATAGCGGTAAAGAAAAGCGATAAAGCATTAGGGTGGAGCGTGTGCATGTCCCCCACACGCCACAAAGAGAGTCGGTGAATCAATCTTCCATTGCCATTTAAACTAAAGCAGATTATGACTCCATGAATCGCTTTTCGCAAATTTACATTTATGACCTCGTTAGTAAATCACGATCATTAATTAACAATTATGCGTTTAACATTAATACCTTCACTTACCTCCTTCCTCCTTCAGGATTACACAAACAGAACCTTCCACCTCCTAAGAATATAAGCCACTTTGTTAACATTCATTTTCTATTAATGCTTTCTTTTATTTTCTAAAAACATTTATTATACTTCTATATAATAAAGTTTATCCGTTTTATATTTTTAAAATAAAAATGATATATAATTTTTTTATTTTGATAAATATTTTTATATTATTATACTAATAAAAAGAAAATGTTTTGCTTACTTTTAAAAATAAATTCATTTTATTTTTTATATTAAATAATTGTTAACATTGTTTAAATATAAAACATTATTTTAAATGCATTAATTATTATATTTTTTATATCGCTGGTTATTGTGAAATTTATGTTAATTAAATATTATCTATTGAATAAAAGTAAACACATTTGTTCAATAGATATATAAAATACTATAAATATTTTAAAATAATTATATTTATAATTTATAACTACTTTTTATTAATTTTGATGAATATTTATATCATATAGATAAAACAAGAAGCAGTATTAATTTATGAATTTAGTTTAAATACGTTAACATTATACTTTTATTTGTAACAATCAATATAAAAATATATTCATTAATAAGATTAGAAAATTATTGTTTTATTATTGATTTATTTATTTTTTATTAACTATTCAATCAAATATATTTTTTATTTAATAATAACTAATTATTTAGACAAGGAATAAGAAAAAGAGTGGACAAGAACATAAATTTTATGAAGAGATAAAGTGAGTCAATGTTGAATACTACTTAGAGTAATTGTTTATTAATTAACTTTTAAAAGTTCTTCTTTTCATTAAACAATACTTTTTTTTTTATCAGGATACTTTATACCATTTTAACTTAAAGAATTATATTTAGAAAATATTAAACAAAAAACAATAAACTGCTTTTAATGCTGATGATTTATTTGTTAATGCCGGAATAAATATCTAAATAACCTTCCGTGTTATTAGAATGCAAATGTTTTTGTTTTTACTTATAAATGCTTAAGTAGGAAGGAGATAAATGGCCTTATTAAACATTCAACCTCTGACGTTACTATCACATTTAAGTCTTAAAAAACAAAAGAAATCATATTACTTAAATAACAATAAGTAAGTATCTTTGACGTGGCATATACATTGCCACGTAAATTTTTTTTCCTGGATACATTATATAACATTCATTTACTCAATAGATATCGGTAGGCAAGCCAATTATGGAATCGAAAAGAGGAGTTCCTTAATTTTATATGTTTTTTAAACTTTGATATGATCTAGAGCACATAAATAAATAAACAAAAAAATGTAAAAGGTTATAACATGCTTGTCTCAAGTGAAATACCTAAAAGGCTTTTCCAAAAACACTTTTAAGTGTAAATTTCATTTTGGTAACGTATGAAGAGGTGAAATTGGAAGTTAAAATTGGGGATATCAAAAGTATTCGTGGTAGAACTTAATCACTCTTAAAGTGTTTAGTCGGTGATTAAGGATTTCCATAAATAACAGCACACTAACATCATAAACCCCAAGACAAAATGGACAGAGATTTGAAAATGGGGTATAAATTTTGGTTCTTTGTGTTTGGCCAGGCTTTTAATTTTCTGGTTAAATTAATTTTATTTATCAGAGTAAAAATTGGAACCATTTGAATTTGGGTTTGCCACGCAATCACTCAGCTGAAGAAAGGATGTTAAGATATGAAGAATCGAATCTGTGCCTTGCCTCCGTGAGAACAAAATAAAAGGACACCAACGTACTCGACTTTTTTTAATATGACCACTACGTAACCATCATCTTCCTTCTAATTATATGTTTATTTTAGTATTTTATACATATTATTTTGAGGATGTAACAGCGAAGTGCACAGAACTCTGCCACGTTTCATTCCCACTAACGTAATATATGGCCTTCATTAATTACACTGTAAATTAGTAAAATTTACGAGCCAGAAAATTGCACTTGACGATGACATAAATATTTTTAAAAATCAATAAAAATAGAAAATAAGAAAATAAAAACTGCGGCTACTGCTGACGGAAGCTGTTGGAGCATCCAGATCTTACAGCCGAAAGAAGTTTCCTTTCTCTCTCTCTCTCTCTCCTCTGTCTTTCTCTCTCTTATTTCGAGCAGAGGAATTTGCGGGAAAGACCGAAACCCAGAAATGAATTGGGTGAAACAAAAGGGAATAAACCAAACCCACGAGAATTCACGATGAAAGCTCGTCACTTGAGCTTCAACATCATCGTTATCACACTGTCCCTTTCCATCGTAGTCAACACAGCAGTCAACACCAATCAATTCCGCACCACAAATGAATCCAACACCAGAAGAATCCTGCACCAGCCATTGTTCCCGGCGACTTCAGCTCCACCTCCACAGCCGCCGCAAACTCCTCCATCTCCCGACGGCGGCACCATTCCCTTCTTCCATGAGTACCCGCCGGGACCACCCCCAGATCAGAGCCAGACAGCACCCTCATCATCGAACAGCAGTATCGCGAACCCAACGGCGACACAACCAGCAAAGGGAACAAAGAAGGTTGCAATCGCGATCTCCGTTGGGATTGTAACGCTCGGAATGTTCTCAGCACTCGCTTTCTTCTTATGCAAACACAGAGCAAAACACGCCGTAGAGACTCAGAAACTCGTCGCTGGAAACAATACCCAGAGAAACCCCGAGGATTCAACGGCGCCACAATCGAGCTTCCTCTACATTGGCACTGTGGAACCAACCCGAACATCAACAACATTGAGCGAAGCAAGAGACAGAGAAACCAATAAAGCCAGTAGGTCACCTTATCACAAACTCAATCCCGTTAAGCGATCCGATCGTTACCGTCCAAGTCCCGAGTTGCAGCCAATGCCGCCGCTCAGTAAGCCTCCCGACGGCGCCTACCCGCCGACGGTGTCATCTTCTTCCGACGAGGAAAGCCACGAGACGGCGTTTCACTCGCCGCAGAACTCGTCGCTGGATGGTTATTACACGCCGGCTTCGCGCCACAGCTCGCTCGTTAACGGTAGCCCCGCCGCTCCCCCTCCTAAGAAAGACACAAATTCCACACACCCTCTTCCATTCTCCAAGAGAACTTCACCAAAGTCACTAATTTCTGCTTCATCGCCGGATATAAGACACGTCATCATACCATCCATAAAACAGGCTCCGCCGCCGCCGCCGCCGCCGCCGGAGAATCTGGATAAACTAGTCTCCTCTGGAGCTTCAAGAAAGCCAAAGTTCTCAGCGCCGCCCCCAGCTCCGAATTTGAAACGTCTCCGGTCAACAACCGACACAGTTTCAGTTAATCCTCCTCCCCCACCGCCGCCACCCCCACCTCCTCCGCCGCCGCGAAAATCTGGGTCACCGGTGGTTAATGTTTCTTCTAGTTGTGCGTTTATAAAGGAGGAGTCTTGTGGGAGTGAAGGGGGTGGGAGTGAAGGGAAAGGTTCAGAGGAAGTTGAGAATAGTGTGAGGTGTTGGGAGAAGGTGGAAGGCAATGAGATGGAAGGAGGCAAACCAAAATTAAAGGCTCTGCATTGGGATAAAGTCCGTGCTACTTCAGACCGTGCTACAGTGTGGGACCAGATAAAATCAAGCTCCTTTCAGTAAGTTAAAATTAAATTCACTCCTACAATTTTGGCCTTGAAGTAGTACAATACATGTGTAAATTAATATTCATTTCTATGTTATATGCCTTTTTTTTTTCAATAGGTTAAATGAGGACATGATGGAGTCTCTGTTTGGCTGCAAAGCCACAAATTCTGCCCCAAAAGAAGCTCCTAGAAAATCAGTTCTCCCCTCCGTGGATCAGGAGAATAGGGTGCTAGACCCGAAGAAGTCACAGAACATAGCTATATTGCTGAGGGCATTGAATGTGACTAGAGATGAGGTGTCTGACGCTCTTTTAGATGGTAAGTTGCTGTTTTCATCCTTTCTCTTTTCTGGATGGTATTTAGACTTTACACTTGCCGACATATTTCTAATTTGGGTAAAAGGTTGATTCATGGTTCTGTTACGGTTTTCTGGTGCCCCGGTCTACAGTTTTGATTCATGGTTTATTGTGCACACGCCCAGCAACAGCGTGCAGTATTCCCTCTTTCCCTTGGTTAGATTTTTAATATCACCTACAAAATCATACGAGGAAACTTACCCATAGCAGTTTATGCAAACAATACAGAGAGAAGGCCTCTTGTAAGAAATAGACTGCATAACTCAGGAACTTAAACTTGAAGTCATCATCGTCGCATCTGAAATCAAGTATGAAAATGTCTAAGCAGCATCATGCCATGTGCATTATTATGCTAAGCAGCAAAATCCGGTATTAGGAACTGTGAATTTCACAAATGATACAGCCATGTCGTCATACTATGCTTGCTTTGAGTGCTCTAGTCCAAATGATGGACTTTGGGAGTTTGTTTTTGGGGGAAGGGAAGGGAGGAGAATGCTTACGTAATGTTTATCCATGTTTGAGAATTTGTAGATGAGAAATGAATGGTTTATAAATTCTCCAAAGCCCTTCTAATCTTATATTTTTAAGTCACCCAATTTGGGAAATTTTGTATTAACCCCTCTTCTTCCTTCCTTCCCTTTTCCTCCCTTACCTTTCAAACTCTCTTCTTTTCCTAATAGAAATACTAATCCCTCATTCCTCGATGCTTGATATCAACTGGGAATAAACCAGTAACCAGTAACTCTCCGTTCTAGCTTCGAGTCCCTATAATCTACTGGTTGTCAGCTGTTATTATTTCTAGAAATATTTCAGAAGTATATTGTTGTTAAAATTTTAAATGCCATGCATGTTTGCTGTCTAATTCACTATTGATAGAGGAGCCACATTACTTTTGTATATCCACCTCAAATGACACAAGTAATTGTAAGCAATAATATATTGAAGAGATCTGTCCCTCATAAAAGCTTGCTAGCATATTTTACATACAAGTTTAACACAAGGCAATTTTGATTTCTTAATAGTATTATTTGAAATTACTTGACACCTGGTGTTTTCAGTTTATATTAATCTACTGAATCAGTAATAGATATATAAAATATGCAAAATATCTAAATATGTATTTGCATAATGTAAGGTCTCAGCTTTTTTCCTTGACATGTCTATTGTTTGTTTTTACCTTAACCAATTGTTTATCATCATCCTGTTTTTTCACACAGCTAACATCGTGACCGTTATTATTTTTGGATGAAACAGGGAATCCTGAAGGTTTGGGTGCCGAGCTATTGGAAACCCTAGTAAAGATGGCTCCTACTAAAGAGGAAGAGATAAAGCTTAAAAACTACGATGGTGATCTCTCAAAACTCGGTTCTGCAGAAAGATTTCTTAAAGCATTGCTTGATATCCCTTTCGCCTTTAAAAGAGTTGAAGCTATGCTATACAGAGCCAACTTTGATTCAGAAGTTAACTACCTTGGAAAGTCTTTTCAAACCATGGAGGTCTAACTAACTTATTTCAATGATTCAATCCCTTGTTATCTTTGATTTCTTGATCCCTTCATGGAAACTAACCAAACAGTTGTTAATATCTCTCAGGCTGCAAGTGAGGAGTTGAGGAACAGCCGGTTATTCCTCAAACTCCTTGAAGCTGTCCTAAGGACAGGAAACAGAATGAATGTTGGCACTAATAGAGGTGATGCTAGAGCTTTCAAATTGGACACACTCTTAAAACTTGTAGATATAAAGGGAACAGATGGAAAGACCACATTGCTCCACTTTGTGGTCCAAGAGATCATTAGATCTGAAGGTGCAGGAGCTGAATCTACAAATGAGAATGCGAAAATGGATTCCAAATTCAATGAGGATGAGTTTAAGAAGCAAGGATTGCAGGTTGTGGCTGGGCTCAGTAGAGATCTTAGTAATGTTAAAAAAGCAGCAGGAATGGACTCAGATGTCTTAAGCAGCTACGTTTCAAAGCTTGAAACAGGGCTTGATAAAGTGAGATTGGTTTTACAGTATGAGAAACCAGACATGCAAGGAAATTTCTTTAACTCCGCAAAGCTATTTCTGAAATATGCTGAAGATGAAATTGTAAGAATTAAAGCTGATGAGAGAAAAGCCTTGTTCCTTGTGAAAGAAGTTACTGAATACTTTCATGGGAATGCGGCAAAAGAAGAAGCTCACCCTCTCAGGATTTTCATGATTGTAAGAGACTTTCTAAATATCTTGGATCTAGTGTGCAAAGAAGTGGAAAGAATGCATGATAGAATTGTTGGTGGTTCTGGCAGATCCTTCAGAATACCTACCAATGCATCATTACCTGTTCTCAACAGGTACAATCCAAAGCAAGATAGCAGCTCAGATGAGGAGAGCTCATCCCCCTAATATTGTGAATACAAAAGAAATTATAGTGAAAGTGAATGAATGTTGTTGCAAATTTAAGTTGATAGCCCGTATTCCAGGATTGGATTCATTGGGTGTAAAGCCATTTCACTAGTAATGGTGAAAAACAACCTGCCACGAGATTAAACATCAAATACTTCAAATTCATGGTGGGGGAAAGAAAGCTGTTAAATGGTTTTCCTGATTCACTGAAATGGGCTCCAAAGGTTCATAGTCATTACCATCCTCATCCTACTTCTTCGTATGAAGAATAAATAAGTTCTAAATGGGGGGTTGCAGTGGATGCATCATTTTGTTTCTTCAACTTCGATACATATTCTACAGTCAAAATAGGCTTTATTAGTTCAGAGTTCCATACATTTTCATATTGTAGAACGTTTTATTTCACTTATGAGGCTCTTATATATGTATTTTTTTAATCAATCATCAATAATTAATTGCAATTTTGCAGCTATTCCTTTATCTGTGAACACTAGATTGCATAATTAATCTTCAAGTTATCTAATGTTTGAAGCAAACAGAGAATCTTCCTCGAGAAAAGGGAAATGATTTCTTTTCTAGATCACGAGTCAATCTATTCAAAGTAGATAAGAGCAGCGAAATAATTTTTTTAAAATTATTTAATGCTCTTATTTTTCAATAGAAAATTGAATCACTTAAAACAAGAATGGATATATGAATGAAAATGTCAAATTACTCCCTGATTACTTAGATTGTGTTTAATACTACACTTAACTTTTGAATTCATTTTTTACGTCAACCTAAAATTAAAATTTTATTGATAAATTTTTAAAAAATTAATTAATTAATTAATTATGTTATTAATCATTATAATTTTATTGAGGTTTTGTTGGTAAAGATAAAAAAATTCTATATTTTAAGATAATTGTCATAGAGATATTTAATAGTATCGTTTCAATAGTTATCAAACTTAACTGTATAATGTTTTGTAATTTTTAAGAAGTTATATGTATGTACTGATGTGAGGGACGTGGTGTTTTTTCCTACAAGGAACGCAGTAGTTTTTATAAGTGTAATTAATTAGAAATAAAATAAAACAAAAAATCAATTGGAATGCGCCGATAATGTAACTATCGTCCAATCATACACTGTATATAATAAAGATGATTAATTTTTTAATAATTAATTTAAATTTTATACAAATTATATATTTTCTAATTATTTATTAGTATATAAAATTTTACATTAACAGTGCATCAAAAATAAATTATAATCTATAAAATGCTGGTAATTTATAAAATATAAAGTATAAGCAGGCATTGCAATAATCTTTCAGTTGTTTTAATGATCCACCAATATTATTTAAATTCCTGTAATTTAAGCACTGTCAGCCTCTAATATTTGGATAATTTTTGTTTAGGGTAGATTATTGTTGGGCTACTTAATCCATAGTCAATCTTCCAAATGCGTCATGGTCCTTGGACAAGTACCCTGACCAAAAACATACCATTTTCTGCAAATAAAAAAAAAATACTAATTAGTATTTTAAAAAGTTGATTAAAAATTTAAAAATATTTTTTAATTATATTTGATATAAATGTACTCTATCACCGTTTTTAATATATTTTTGATTTTTAAGATTTTGTTATTGTCATTTTTTAATTAGAAAGAAAAGAAAACCAAAATTCTAGCTAATTCCCACAACAATAAACGAGCTTATTTAATTTTGATGATAAAATCCTAATCAGAGAGGTAGGTGGAATGACTGAGACACCATTTAATCACACGAAAGATGGGTAAGGACAAATGGGAAAATAAATGAGAACTAAAAAGACAAAACAAAATCATGGCGACACCTACAAAACTACTGATTGAGTGGTCCTGAGATTTCCTTTCAAATACATTATCACTGCACACCCTTAAATTGACAAGTTTAATGCAAATCTTAGGATCGGGACTTAGCTAAAACTAGCCCTTCTTTTTTTAAGAAATAGTGTATGTTTGATTTGATTCATTTTAAAAATATTATCATTTAATCAGTTTTTTTTTTAAATTGTTAAAATGAATTTTCTATTATGCTTTTATTGTGAAAGTGAAAGGAAGATTGTATAAAAAATTCAGAGTAGAAAATATAAACAAGAGAAATTAATAATTTTATTTATATTACGCATATAAGTATGGATACAAGAGTACTGATTTAAAAATTTTTAATTCTATCAATTTTTATAATATCTTTTCATTATCATTATTATCAGTGTATCTTTGCTAAATTTAACATATGATAAATATTTATTAAATCGTTTTTTTATTTTTTGTCTTTCTCAAATAAATTAGTTGAATCATCAAAATAGTTTAATTTATAATTTTATTAATATTAATATTTAAGATTGATTTTTAGTACTTCGAAGTAATAACTTTAAATTTTAAAAAATTCTTATACCTTTTTCATTTTTAATATAATAAATATTTTTAATAAAAAAATAGCTCACTTTTAGTTGTGCAAAATTAATTTTAAGGATTAAGATGAATATATTTCTTTATTTTATATTTGATGAGGTGAAAATGCTTAATGAAATAAAGGATTTAAATCTTACAACTATTACTAAGAAAGAATTTTACCTGTTTTAGAAAAGAAAGATCGAGTGAACTTTATCTAATCACTATATTTAATGTAAAACTTATAAGTATTTTTTTAGGGTTTAAACATTTACAAATAAAATTTTTTTATAAAAAAATACATAATTATTATATTGAAATAATAAAATATAATAAATACTTCTCTTTTTAATAAAATTTTACTATTATTAACTGTTTATTTTCAACCTTAAAACTTTTAAAGTTAAAGTTAATAAAACTATTTTTTATTATTTAAAAGTTAACTCCTCTTTAAATTTAAGAGTCAAGGACATAATTTTCCTTTGATCATTTCGAAAGCTTTTAATCATAGCTTAAGCGTAAGAAATCCAACTTAAACTGTTTCCGTAGTTGAAAAAATAAGAAAATAAACAAAACAAGAGGAGAAAAATATTTCATAAATGTTAGAAGAAAGTGTTCTTTTGCTTCATATTTTTTTATTCATGAAGGTTGAGAGGGGCAACGCTTAATCTTGGAGGTTGATTTCTTACTAACACAGCACAGTACATACGTCATATAACAATATACAGTTTAAACCTGGATTTATATCAAATTATGCGGTCTATATAATTCTATATCCTCACCACATAGTCATATTCATTGCAGCCGAAAGCACGATGCTATTCCAATTCCTCTTGTTCTCAATATCTTTTCAACCAATATTTTCCACCTAATTTCGTCTTTCTTGCTTTGTCTTGATATTCTCTGCTTAAAGTTCCTGAAATGACAGCACTTGTTACAATTCATGTGGATATATAATTGAGCTGCATTAAATGAAATCTCACTTAGACACTACATATTATTATTGAGGAGTAATTACCTGCACAAAGGAACTCTACAGTAATCTGGATCAGCACATAGTCGAGAGTGTAGCTCCAATAGTTGCCACATTCTCTTGCAATGAACACAACCTCCAGGAACTCTCAATTTACATCCAGCAAAATGACGAACAAGCAATTCTAGCCCCTTGCATGCTTCATACTTACACGGTTGGTTTGATTTGAAGTCTTTATCATGGGGGCCAATAGTTCTACAACCATCTCTACATATGTGAACAAGAGCTTCCATTGCCTCGTATAATTGCATATAGATTCTTCTTTCTTTGATTTTTCTCATCCGATCCTTTTTACTCTGAATAATCAATTCATTCCAAAGCAATTAGACAATGGACTAATCAAATTTCCATTCTGCAAGATAAAAATAAAGTCAGGAGAAAAAAAATAGCCTTACATTTTCTTCATCAATCACTGATTCCAGAATTTCCTTTTCTAAAGCTGGGTGGCTATGCTTCATTGCTTTCCATCCTTCAGACTCTGAAACAGCTTTAAAATTTTTTAGCATTTTACGGTGACAAATAAGGCTGAGCCGTGGAGCATCACACAGTAATGCAAGTTGAAATACATCAACTACATTATCTATGTTGAGTAAATCCAATTCTAGCTTCTGTTCACATTCGCGCTTCAAGTGAGGAACCATGTATGCATGTGACAGCACCATCAATTGTAATACCATTTCATCCATTTCTTCTTTCTCATAACTGTGAAACAATGACACACAAAATTTCAGCACATTTATATGCATAAATATAAACAATGTAGGACAAGGATGAGTAATGGCAGTAAAATCTTTATATCAGTACAATTTGTGGAAGACTAAAATAAAATAGCTTATCTCAAAATACCTAGACAATCAAAACTTTTGAAACACAAATTAATATCCAACATAATTTGCAAGGACTCCCCTATTAACGATTGATATTGCTTAACATTTATCTATTGGAAGAGAATGGAAGGATTTGATTTGATCAATCAAGCAATTGCATCTAATTTGGGCAATCGAAATTGAAGAGAATATTATCAAGCATTACCGCACAGTATGTGTGATGTTAATGGTTTCTACACAAATATTCTGATAATTTTGAGGTTAATACTAATAGAGGGATCAATCGTACCTCGATGAGTACAAGAATCGAATAAAAACACGAACTGCATCATGCGGAACCCCAAGGATTGAGATTGTTCGCCATCGACGATGACGATTTGCTTGCTTCAGCATACCTCTCAATACGGGAGAAGCCATAGCCTGTTCATATAGCATGAAGTGAGTGGTATACACAAAAAATTGTATTCAAGATAACGTAAAGATCCATTCACTTTGGCGTCAATGTCCTGATGATTGATATAACAATAGCATTCAATATATGTAGCTCCAATCATACTACTAAGATACAATTCATCAGACATAACAATTCATTGCTGACATGTTTTGACAATGTATATTTTGATGTGGGTCACAAGTAATACATGAAGTGCATGCATGCATGTGAAACAAAAAGAGAAAATGTTATTTTTCAAAATAAAGTGAAATGATTAATGAACTTACAAGAATAGTAGAATGAGCATAAACAACGCCACCGTTATCAGTATTAATGCAAACATCTGCATTATAACCTTGATCAAAAAGACGCTCCCACATATCTTTTGTTGTTGAAGAGACATTGGTGCTGCGCCATGTTGGTGCTGAATTATTCGGTGCCATACACTCGCATGGACAACCGGTTGCTGCTGAATGGGGCATAGGAGGTGGTGCCGGAGTGAATTTCTTAGTATTCCGAAGAGAATTACAACAATTGCCCTTCTCGTTAGCCATCACTTTATGCTTCTCTGCTTCATAAACAAATATTAAATCAAGTTACTTGTTGATGAGAAACCCAGTTCTACGCGGAATATTCAATCATATAAAATGGGCATGTTAGAATGATAAGGAACTTAATTATCCTGTTATTGGTAATAGCTTTATCCATTTCCCACACAAAGCAAGATAATAATAATAATAATAATAATAATAAATGATATCGAGTGTTAAATTTAATAAAGTAATATTTTAAATATTTTTATTAAAAATAAATTTTGTTCATTTGACTGCTTCATGTCATCTTATTAAAATAAATGATTATGCATGTAAAATTTTATATAATTTAAACATGTATAGATTTAAAATTTAAGAATAATTATAAACTTGTATTGTAAATTGTGCAAAATTTTATTGAGAACTTTAAATTCAATAATTAGATTAAGAAAATTATCTTTAATAAAATATTATTAGAAATAATATTATACTAAAAATTTCCTTTAATGACATTTTAATAATAATAATAATAATTTGATTTGCATATAATGTGTAAATAAGTTTTAAATTTTTCATTTAATGATGGATAATAATTAATAAATGCAAAGGATTCAGTCAAATCTTCTATTTAGACTATTTCCTTTCATTACATAATTAAGATAAGCCATTCCAGGTCAGTTTGGATAAAATTTTACACTTTTGTTAAATCATAAATTATATAATTTTTTTTTATCAATATCAAGAAAAAATATCATTAATTAAAATATTAATTATTAATACGTTATTTTTATCGGATAATGTTTAATATGACTACTAAAACTACTATCATTATTCATATTCATAAACTTTAATTGATCTATCTAAATGCAAAAAATTTTAAATTGAGAAGAAAAGGTATTTGATGAATTTAAGTTACATGTCATGATTTTCCAATTCTCTTTAAGTAATGAATTAAATTCAAGTTTTGCAAATAAAATAAATCCTACGAAAAAATTTAACGTCATTGTACACTAAGTATTTTTTTATTTAGACAAATTTGTCTCGCATATATAATACATATGAACTAAATTAAAAAATTTCCGTTTTTTTCTAAACAAATGCATTTACTATTTTGTTATGTAATTTTGTATGTTAAACTGGGCCTGCTTAGGCCCAAATAACATATTAATAATTCTAGGCATATAAACGCCCGTTAAATGCATCCCTCAGGACATTAATTTTTCAGTTGACCCAAAAAAAACAATTTTATTTTGGAAAGTATAATACTATAAAAAATCAAATTAAACGCAGTTAAACTGTGAAAAACCTACGGTTCTTATTGTTAGTTGTAAGAGAGATATTATGTCCATAAACTATCCCAGAAACTACTGTCCAAGAAAAAATAAAAATTCCAGAAGCTTCAATGAATTTATACCCCAAACGTGAACATCTACATGTCCTATCAAACATCAGGATCTTCCCAATGTTCACACACACACCCCTATTTCATTGCTAAAGCCCCTTAAATAATATCACGTGAGGGTTGATTTTGATTGTAAATTGCATGGTCTCAATTCATCAGACAAATTGTTGACAAAACAAAATTCATCACACATTTTTCCTGTAACTTTTCAAATAATTAAGATTAAGAATTACCCGCTCACACTTCCAGCAATAACATGGAGCTGTGATTAATTAACAATGTAAACAACCAGGATTCGCTATGAACCAAATGAAAATTTTACAATTAAAATAGCATCTACACGATCTGCATATGGCTTCAGTGTTGAAATTAACAAATTTATCAGCAACGCACATGATTTAATCAATTCCCCAACCGTAAAAGGAATCAAAACTCGCACCCACAATCCCAGATCAAATTAAAAAAAACGATTTACGGTGCAGGGAAGATATTTTAACTAAAAAACAGCGTTGTGATAGTAACGAATTGAATTGAACAAATCAAGATGCATTAACAGAGAAAGTTGGATCGAATTACCTTGATCGAAATTTGAAGCGTTCCACTCTGTATTTGTCATATTATTTTTCCTATAAACACCGAAGATATTGGAAGCACTTCCTCGGCACCTTATTCTTAACCAAAAAATAAGAAAAAGAGGTTAATGTCGAACTCTCGTTTCTCAATGACACCACCTTGGACGCAAAACGACGACGTGTAACCCCCGTCGCCGGATTACGGAATCGGATGGCGGAAAAGGTGATGATGCAAAGAAGAAAGGGAGAGAGAGACGAGGGTGACCCTCTTCAATTCTCTCTCCTCCCACAATCTGTGAAGCTCAAGAGATTATCGTGAAAACAGATATAATAAATAAGCTAAAAATCTCACCGAGTCTATCTGTCAGTGTTGTTCCATTCTAAAAATATCAACAGAAATAAAACTGCACATTTTAATAAGACACATCGTATCTTCAATCATACCATCGTTTCTTTATTTTACTTTTAACAAAACTCTTCACGTATGCGACTATGTCTCCGCTGTAATCCTAATGGCTTCTATGCAATCATTTCAACTTCATTGCCTATTTGCCAACTAAGCCCACAAGAACAACATTTCACAGATATTTATTACAATTGTCATTTCCTATCTTCTCTTTTCTTTTTTTTATATTTCATTAATATATATTGTCAATGTAATTCTTTTAATACTGTTCAATTTTTTTCATCATGCTGTTATGCAATTAAAAAATGTTTACTTTTATAATGATTGTTTTAAAAATTATATTTAGGGTAATTTTTAATTCATTTTTGGTATAATTTTTTTATTGTAATAATGTATTGAAATCATATTTTTATTGGATTTATTAATGTCGTTTTTACTTTTCAAATTTTCAAATTAAATATGGAAGTAAAAAATTATTATTTTTTGAGAAAGTAAAACATGAATATTTTATTATATATTAATCATAAATATAAAAAATGCATCGTTTAAAGATTCATTACAAATAAATCGAAAGAATTAACTCGTGATATTATTATATTTTAAATTAATCCTTTTGTCATACTTTTAATTATAAGCATTTCAAATTATTATTTTAAAAATGTAAAAATACTTAATTTATTATATTAAAGAAAGTACAGTTAAACAGTGTGGTATAAAGTGATACTTTATTTAATACAAAGATTATTAGATTGGCATTCATATTTATGATTAAAAATGTTAAGAACCATTTAAAGATTTATGTTCAATTAAGATTAAAAATAGTAGAAGAAAAATATAATTTATTTCATACATCACAAAAATATAAATTTGAATAAAGAAAGAAACATGTGGAAAGTTTTTAAAATGAATAACATTAGTGGGATGGATCCAGCTAAGATTTTGTTGGTTTCCTCCAACTTTTGCATTTGTGACAGAAGATTCATTAGCCAATTTTGCTAATCATAGCAGAAAAATAAGAGATGGTTTACCTTGCGTCTTAAAATGTTTTTGTTAGTTTATTTTTTGTCTTGTCTTTTGTTCTTTTGTCAGCCATTCAACACTACACGGCAATGAATAACCCCAGTATCAGTTCACACATTATAATTTGGGACTTATCTATTCGTATTTTAAAAGAAGCTAAAACTAAAAAAAGATACATAGGTACAAAAATAAAACTGTTTTGAACCGTAGGTTTAAATTAAAATGTTTTGCACATTTAATTTATTCAAACTAAAAATAATAGTAAATCATGTTTACTTTACACGTGTTTTCATTTTCAAAGAGATATATCCCACATATTGAATATGCACAAGTGGGGCTCATGAGCAAAGAATTAGATCGGATCAAATTGGCTCAGATGAGACACAAAACAGTGAATCGATTAGGTGATTTGATGTGTTTAATAAAAAGTATCGCTGAATTCTATATTTAGAAAATAGCTTGAACCATCTATATTTTTCAATTTTATTTCATCAAAAATATATTTTTTAATCAAAGGAAGGCCAAATCCTACGACATAAAGATTTATATATGAGATTTTTTATAAACTACTATTGTTTTACTATTTATTAGATTAAGAAACTTATTATTGATGTATAATTGTTAAAAAAGGTACAAAACTTTAAAAACAAAAAACATAAGACCCTAAATCAAATCGAAGCAACATAAAATATAAATAAAATTCGCACTCATACGGAGCTAGTAGGAATAAATATTCCTATTACCCTTTTGCTTCTACTTTAAGTTGATTTATTTTCTTCTCTTATAAATGGTGGGTCGGATTGTTTATTTATTTAGTGGGTTCATTTTTGTTATCATTATATGTGTATTTAGTTTTCTATGTTTTCAAAATATAATTTTTATTAACTTTTTTGAAATAATTTCAAAAAGATCTATTTTTAAAAACTAATTAATAAGAATGTAAATCTCAAAACACCATCAACATTCTTCTTAGAGCATTAAAATTGTTGAAATATTGCTGAAACATTGCTTTTCACTGATGAAAGAATTATGGTAAGTTTAATATTAGTTAACCTTTTTGTCTTTATGTCTTTCACATACATACTAATAATTTATAAAATATTATTAAAAAAATGCTTTTACCATTTCACACAACCAACTTAATTACATATATAAGACAATTTGGTATAGTTTTCGTATATTACAAATTAACCACAGGCCAGAAACAAACATACAAAATTTAAGTCTTCGGATTCAGAGCAATGCTTCCTTTTGCTTTTCATTCTTGCCTCCCCTTTTGTTCTCAATATAGAATTTTGTTCTCATATCAATGGACAAAAATGTGTGTAATTGGAGAATATGGGCTTAAAGGTGAATGGGTGTATTGGGCTTTGTCCATTATAACTATTTACTATGAGAGGTTTTATTACAAAATAGAAAGGCCCATGAACCAAGTTTACAAGGACGAAAAGCAGTAATGATTTTGACCCAAAAAATAAAAAGAGAAGAGAATCTGTATTGATATCTTTTGTCTTGTTTTATGAGAATTAGCTCGACTTTGTTAACATGAAAGGTGGAATCTTAACGGGAAAAGAAAAAAAGAGATAATGATAATATTTTGAATTTTATTTTAAAAAATATATTTCTTATTACTGTTTGTGTTAAAAAGTAAAAAAATAGCATACAGAAATTTTAGTGAAATAAATTAAAGGGAGTTTTATAAAAAGAGTCATCATGTATTGTAATTAATATTTTTATTTTTAATTTTTTCATAGTATCATGATGGATCACGTTAGAGGAAAAAATATTTTTTTATCAAATTAATTAGTGAGTTTTATTATTAATTATAGTAAGTCTTTATTTAATAAAAAAAATGCATATTGCCTGTTCTAACATGGTATTAGTTAAAAATATGAAAGGATCTAAATTCAAATTAATCATAATAATCTTTGCCCAATATTATCAAACTTAATCCACGTCTATATATAACAACTAGAAAAAAAAAAATCCAATGCGTAGAGCTCGTTTATAGAAGAATGAAAATATTTCATAAACCATATATTATCAAAATTAATCTACCTCTATACATAACAATCAGGAAAAGTGAAGATCTGTGGAAAAAAAAAGATCTTGAAGGGCCAATATTCTAGACATTTGGGGTTATACTAAGATATTATATATCCTCTAAAATTAATGAGGTCACAGTAATAGCAACATCCATCATCCATCGTCATTCAATTTGATAATGGAACAGTAGCAACTAGCAATACATAAAAATGGAAAAGGAATAATGGTGGTGGTTGTGAAATGATGAAAAACAGCACTGAATAGCTTGACGATAGGGGGTTGATGAATGGTGGCCAAACAACATTCAATTAATTTGCTGAATGCTAGCAATGCAATACATATCACCCACCCAGACCCAGTAATTCTATAGCTCAGCATTTCCTACCATTATTTCATTTTATTTCTTAAAAAGTTTTCCATATAAACCTCATTCATGCACTGTACATGTCTCTTATAACCGCTCCTTCTCAGAGAAAAATCCCACGCACTCATGATATGATACATACAAATTAAGCCTTGTCCTTATTGTTTGTGCGAGTGTGTGCCATTCAGTGACACATAGTCATTGAATAAAAGCAGTGGTCTTGGAACCATGATTTTCCCCACCCCCATTCTGCATCTGTAAGCAAGATAATAGAGAGCATCATAATCGGTCAAACTTAATTGTTGACCATCTTGGGCTTGCTGAATTTCAGAGTCAAAGGTTCTGCCTAGCTAGTCTTCCCATCACTATTACCTAAGCTTAACTGAACACACTCAACCAACATAAAATAAAATAAGAATAGCATAGTTCTATTTATTTAAACTATATAGTATATTAATAAGTATATGTTGTGTAATTAATAATATCATATGCTACGTACTAGTACCATGCCACATCTCATCTAACAGTAACGGTGTTATATTCTAATGTGAGTGGGTGGCAACATAGGATAGAGCAGGAGCGTCTTCTTCCTCCCTCTGCCTTCCTTTTATAAAATTTTTTATGCTAACACAGACTGGAAGTGGTCCAGCCTTTCACACGTGAAGACGCTCCTCCCCTGCTATTTTATTCACGTGTGCTATCATACTTCCATCAATTCTTTTCTTAGCTTCTAATTGTGGCCCCTCATAACCCCTCCATTTTTTCCCTCCAAATTACCTCGTCCCACACATCAACATTAACCACTTCAAACTTTTAGGCGCTACTTACGATTTTTATTGCAACTCATAGACTTGTTAAGGATGTTTCAGACTACAACTTTATGTCACCCTTGACTTCTCATTTCTCGTGCTATAAAATCCTAGAATAGGTGACCTTTTTTTTCTTTCTCTTTAAAGGAAAATAATTCATTTTGCTAATGGATATTTTTCAAATTATGATATTCAAATGGGGTTGGAACATAAATTGTTAAAAGTGGCTAGTTAATTACTAAATGGTTTGAAATGTGGCCATGTGCCTGCAGTATAAGCTAATTGAGGATCATGCTTGCAATCTGGTGATGACAAGTCACTATTTATTTTGGTGAGACGAGCAGTGTGATCTTATCTGGCAGTCAAAGACTGTAAAAGATGGCATTCCACCAGTTTTAATGGCATTCCAGATTTTGGATCTTGTGTCATTTAGTTTAATTAAATTTTAACATTAGATAGTTAGTTATTTAATCTGTTATGTGTATTAAGAAATATATTAAGGCCATAACATCTAGTATTTCTTTGATAAAAAGATTCACTGTGTATTGGTGCATATAATAAATTCCCAAATAGGCAGGGTTTTCTGATTATCTGATTAAGTATATGCTTTTCTTGACTGCTTAGATACAAAAGCGTTTGAAAACTTCATGGCATGGCATGGCAAGTCCACGTAGTTTTTCCATTTCCCTCACTTTAAAAATCCCAGTTAGAGAAAACAAGAGGGGTATATAGCTGAGAGCACCACGGGCTCAAGACCATGATAGCTGTGCTTGTAGTGATCTAAAGCATTTCCATTGATAACAAACGACAAATAGGTTAATTACGTGGATGGAAGAAAGCTACAAAAGGAATATTAATCATCTTATGCCTATAATAGAAGAACTAGGTAAATAGCTATTGTATCCATTTTACACTGATTATGAGATTTACTTTAAAGTACAAACATTGTAATCCCTCTGGTGTTAGTCAAAATGTAAACTAGGAAATTATGGCAAGAAGTGGTTCTTTGACACAGACCTCTCTGTTTGATCATATTTGTTGTGTTATCTACGTATGGATGTGCCTATATGGGGGGAGCAAATTTATAATTGTACATTGTCTTGACTAATAAGATGTGGATTTGATTGCTCATATTCGATGCTGATGCTTAAATGTGGACATTAGGGGCCTAATTTAGTACACAAGGATGTTTGAAACCGAAAAAGAGAGACAGAGAAAGCCAACAAGTGAGGCCATTGATAATAATGTACGAATGGAACTTGGGGGACAGGTAAGGTCATGGAGCCATTGGTTTATGGTTTATGATAAGGCTCTTCCAAATTGATCTTATTTCTAAATTAAGAATTAAAAAAAATCAGCTCTTAGTTTAAAGATACGCTTGCTTTAGAATAGCTTTTTAATTGCATAGATTATAATGCATTCCACTTCTGTATGGATATTCTTCTAATGAATTCTACTCTAGTATGCTAGATGATGGGTAGAATTTAGCTTTGGTCGTTTCTTTATTGAGGCCTAACATAGACAATCAGAATGTTTAGTTATACATAATTGGCGAAGCACTAGCAACTTTGCCTCATATTAAATTCGGAAACAAAAAAGATGCTTAGCTACAAACTATTATACACATTTATTCCCTTCTTTCACTCAGAACTATTATATGGTTATATACTCCTTTTTTGAGTGCACTATTCAACAAAAAACAAATTGACTTGAAAATTGACATTAGCAAAATAAAAATTAAGGGGAGAGGAAACAAAAGAAAAAAAGGAAGGAAGCATATGCAAGGTGGAGGATGATGAACACTAAGACCAAATGAAACCCTTTAACATCACATGGGACAAAAGTGACCATCCTACAGCTGTCCTAAACTGTAGGGAAAACCCAAAAGTGGGGTAGCATGTACCATAGTAGTACCCCATGGACTCTTGATATTGAGAAGTCTGGAATCTCCCAACATTTGGAGAGACTTTGGGATGGCCTATACCTAAGGTCCTAACCCACAACACTCTTCACTCTCTCGCTCTCTCTCTCTCTCTCTCACACACACACACACTTGTAGTGTGTAGTATAGAGTGTATACCCATACACACAAAGCTCAAAACCCCGTAACCGCTAATTAACGTCCCTCTATAACACATCTTTTTTTGGCGGCACCAAAACTGCTGCATCCCACTCTCTCCTATCCACTCTCCATTCAACCTCTCCAAATCGAATATCTCTCTAGATTTCCTAGTATTTAGCGGTTATATTCTACGACAAGTTAAGTGAACTTCGATAGATTTTGTTCATTGCATAACATTGGAACAAAATGGGGAGCTCTAGCACCTTTTTTTCTTTCTCTAGCCTTATGTGTGAAGAAGGGGAAGCTAGCTTCTTTGAAGATGAAGATGAAAACACTGGCATTGACTCTCTTGATAACCCGTGTTTCGTTTTGGAGGATGAAGAGGAATACATTGAGTATTTGTTTAGACAAGAAACGGGATTCGGATCCCACAATCACTTTTTCTGCTCTGATGATCACTCTAGTGGATACTGGTTGAAGAGTGCCCGTGTTGATGCCATTAACTGGATTTTCAATGTTAGTTCTTAATCTGATAAACCAAGTTTTACCCGTATCATCTTGCTTCATTTGCTTTTTGGTTGTTCTATTGTTGAAACTTTATATTGTTGATTAATCAGACACAAGCAAAATTCGGGTTTAAAGTTGAGACAGCTTATTTATCAGTGACTTACTTTGATCGGTTTCTTTCAAAGCGATCCATTGATGTAAGCTTTAACATAATCTCTTAATTCCAACCCTCTTTGTCAGTTTTGTTGATTTTAACTTTTTTTTTTCCCCTTAATTTCTGGAATGATGCAGGAATCGAAACCTTGGGCTATTCAATTGTTGTCAGTGGCATGTTTATCCTTGGCAGCGAAGATGGAAGAACAAAATGTGCCACCTCTATCAGAATATCCAATTGAAGAATATCGCTTTGAGAACAAAGTCATCAGGAACATGGAGCTGCTGATTTTGGGTACCTTGGAATGGAAAATGGGATCGGCAACTCCTTTTTCTTATTTGCATTACTTTGTCAGCAAGTTCTGCCCTGGATCCAGACCACAAACAATAATCACCAAAGCCACTGAACATATTGTGGCCATGGTAAAAGGTGATTTAAGATTTTCTATAATACAATTCCCTAATGAAATAGTATTATCAATATTAAGATTATATATGAAACGAGTCTTTCTATGCAGATGTTAATTTGATGGATCAACGGCCATCTATAATTGCCTCAGCTGCCATATTGGCAGCTTTTGATGCTACATTAACAAGAAAGACAATGGATCTTCGAATAAGCGTAATCTCATCGTGGGGAAATCTAGAAAGTGTGAGTTTAACTTTATTTAGAGTCCAATATTCACTAATGCTAATTTATTGCTCTTCAACTCTTCTTATTGGATACATAACAGAACATAGTTTGATGATGTTTCACATTATATGCAACAGGGGCATGTGTTTTTCTGTTACAATCTAATACAAGAAAAGAAGAGAAACATAGTTAAGACCCCTTCCTCAAATTTATTGTCTACCCAGTCGAGCTCCACGTGTGTTCTTGAGAACCCATCTGACACTTCTTCAGGAGCTAAGAGAAAACTTAGTTTTGAGGACAGTGAACATTATCCGGGACAGAAGATACATCGGTCGTAGTTTGCACCTCGCAGAGTTTGTGATCGATCTATTATACAGGAAAAAATTTGATTGGTGTTTAGTGATTGGATTATAGGATATTTTTCTACTGAAAAATTTATTCTAGTTAGTTATAGGTCTAATGAGTGCCATCCACCATTTTGTGGAATGATTTGGTATTGATGATTGGGGTTTTATTTCCCGGTACCCAACAAAAAGTTTCAACGAGCGACAACAAAGAAGATAGATAAAAAAGGAGGAGTAAATAAATAAATAAAAAAGTGGTTAGCTTTACCCTACAGTAAGTTTGAAGCTGACTGAATGAAAATCCATGAGTCATTAAGGACTAAGGAGGAGATGAAATGAAATATGAGTGAAAGCCAGAAAGCTATATTGAAGACTATTTGTCCATAATAGTGATTTTGGGCAGTGTTAGCTTTCTTGAGCAGTTCCTACTACATTTTTACTTTTTTCAACTGCATTTATTTTTCTCTCTTTCCCTTTATTTTTTGTCGTGATGGGAATTATATTTTTATATGTATGTATACGATAATAGCTATAGCAACCCTACTCTTTTGATGGGGAGCTTGGGATGCTTTCTATGTCTTGAGAAAGGCTGAAAGCCATGGAGAATGGGGAATTGGTTTTGTTTGATTTGATGTATCTGCATAGCATTTGGGTTGGGCCATTGATAAAGCTGGTAAAAGTTGAACGTGATTATGTGTTCGGTTGGGACGTGGGAGGCTCCTTTTCAGGAGAGCTGGGAAACTTTCCTTTAACCGTTATGTAGATGTACTATGATTTAATGATATTAGATCCCTATAAATGGTAAAGGATTCGCCCATGGGCCTGGTGGGGCCACTGCCACTGCCACTGCCACTTTGCCCGTACACCCTAAAATAGTAATCACATTCATGGAGGATTAAAATTAATAAATAAGTGCATTTTTTTTAAAAAATTAATATTTTTAATCAGAGTTTATAAACCTTTACCAAAAACACTCTAAATGGTTAAATTTAAAGGATATGGTCGCAGAGAACTCAGGTTCCATTAGCTTTGGTTGCCACCCAATTCAGGGGAAAAAAAGCAGGGGCTGTTACGGTGGTATCATATTGACAAATATTTCTCATACACATTTTTATATATGTTTTCTTTGAATCTGTTAGTTTTAAAAAAAATAAATTAAGCAACGAATTAAAATGTGTTTTAGTTTACTATTTTAAACAAGTGATGCAAAGTAATGCATTAAAACTACACACCCTTCGTAGGTTTAACAAATTTTCGCCACCTATCATTTCTTGTTTTTAGAAAATAGTGAGAACGACGTTATATTCTTACATCTGTCGCTTAAAAAGGTAAAAATAAAAATTCCTATGTCACATTTTATTTCAGATATACAAAAAAATTGAATTTAATTTTTTTGCATTTTTTATGCAAAGATAACCCTACAGTTCAATTCACTTAAATAAAAAAGTAAATTTTTCATAAGTTAAAAAATTTGCTTAAACATGTTTGACAAAAATTAATTTTACTTGAGTTAAAATTGTAAAAAAATTAGAACTTTATTTTCTTCTTTTTTAAATTAAAAAATTTTGAAAATTTCAAAATTTTTTATATTTCATACACGCGCATAATACGTAAGTTTGCAAATGAAGTAAAAATTTTAAGGTTAACCCAAAATTTGATACTTCTTCTTATTATAAAATCATTTACAAAAGATATTAACACAATACTCATAAGTGCATTTTTTTCTTTCTTTGTAATTTAAATCTACTCTATACACGTTACACCTCAAAAATACTATTTTGAATTATTTTTATTTTCTATTAATTTTAACTTTAACATTTAAATTTAGTAATTTTATTTCACTATAGTTGAGTTAAATCTTAGTATGTTGAATGAGTGATATGAGTTTTTAAATTATACTTTGGGATATTTAAAATTTGAATTATTTTAATATATATATATCATAAAACTAATCATGAGTTTAATGTCTTTTATAAATTACACTTAAATAATTAAGATATCGTAATTTAGAAAAAAAAGAAGTTGAAATTTTATTTTATTTTTTGTAATTTTAGTTTAAGTCAATTATTTTAAATTAAGTAAAAATTACTTTTTTACTTATTTTATTTAAGCAAAATTAATTCGTTTAAGTAAATTTAAACTGCATGATCAAATTGCAAAGAATCCGAATGTCAACAATGTTAAACTAAGTGAGTATATATTTTCATTAGAAGAACACGGGAGAATGTATATTATCATAATGGTCGAAAGTTAATGATTAGCTTCAAGGAACTATAGTATGAAATGGATTAAAAAACAATGATCAGCAAAAACCAAACAACTATTATGGATCTATTTGGTAGATTCAAATATATGCCTGACAGCTTTAAGATAGAATCTAAATGTGGACAAATCAAGAAATTTCGTTCTAGTAGCTATTAGGGGACACGTTCTGTTGAGATTGCTCCTACAGTGTAATGTAATAGGGCCCAGGTTATCATAATTCAATAAATAGAAGATCTTGGTATTCTGTTTGGTTTAGGGTGGAGGCCTGGAGGGAGAAACTTGCAAGTTAAGATTAATGGGAAATTGGTGTCAGAATCTATCCCTTGTGGGTTGCACACTTATCCAGTCTGGCATCATTCTTGTATTTTGCATTATGAGAAATGCTAGCAATATGCCCTTTATTTACCGTGATTACCTTCTTGTTCCATGGTTCACATGGAGATTATTCTTGCCCCTCCACGTTCTTTGCTTGAATCTTGCAGTTAAAATTGCAGACATGGTCGGATTGACCCAGATTACTGACACATAACATCTCTAAGAGAACAAAATTCACATGACCAATGATAGCTAAATAATTTACAAGCACATTCACGAGTGAAGAGTTCAATTGTTCACGACTCATCGATAGATTATTCTTTGCATGCATGACAAGAGCTTGGAAATATACATTTAACCAACAAGTACCACTACACTCATAACATTGACGAAGACAATATGTAACAATTGTTTAGCAGCGTCTGTAATTAAAATTTAACCGTGTGACAATATATGTGATGTTGTCTCAATGATTAAGAACCAGATTAACGAGATAGGTGGATGGAGAATAAGCATACTTAGTTGAATAATATCAATGATAAAGAATATGACATTGGATATCATATGGGTTGATAATTAAAGTCCAAATGCTTCCATTTACATAACTGTCATGGAATGGGTTGCAGGGATATGTTGGTTGGACCACGAAAACATTTACATCATACGGCCAAAGGAGTTTTGCTCGTATGTGTGTCATAAGGAAAACGTTCTTGTCATTTTGTATTTCCTTGTTTTAATTGGACAAAATTATTTGTCCCATTTGAATGATGAATATGTTGTGGACAAACTTAGCTTGAGAGCGTATGGTAGAGAGGGAGGGACCAAATTTAAGATTTTAACCCCAAAATGATAACATAGTACTGGAGACATGTTATTTGTCTTGTTGAGTGCATTGGTGTAAATTGATGAACGAATATATATGTGTGTGTGTGTTTTAATTTTTTTAGTGGGAGAGTAGCTCATATTAACTTAAAAGACATGGTGATTTACATCGCGGTGAAAAATGTTTTTTCCGTTCATTTTATGTGAATCACCGATCATATATTTTTTGACATTTGTTCTTATACATGTTAGAAGAGTGGCCCTTCTTTTAGTCTTTTCTTTATTTTATTTATATCAAAATCCTTATAAATAGAGGAGAGGAAAAGAGAGTGGTTTAGAAAAAAAAAAAAAAAGAAAAGTGAAAGGAACAAAAAATTATGAAAGTAGATTCTGTCCAAAATTTTCTCCCATCTCATGAGAAGAAAAAGTTAGTAAGGAGAAGAAAATTGATTTTTTAAAGTTATTCCCGCAAATAAATAAAAGTAGCTCCTGTTAAGAGTACATATGTAAATTTTCCCTTCCTTTCAACTATTCTTCGTTAAATAAGCGCCATAAAAGTTCAATTATTTACTCATATCAAATAATATTAAAAAATAGCTTTTTATTCTCTTTTGTCAACATTTTTTATAATTTTTATTTCAATAACGTCCTTCAAATTTTGAGAAATGAAATTTGTGAATTGAAAGATATCACAAGACAGACCTTTACATTGGTGACTGTAATACAGTTTCAAAATCATTAAATTTCTCCTTTAAATTTAACAAAAAAAATAAATAAAAAATCATCATCATCATTAATATCATTATTATGTTTTCTCCGCCTTTCATCTTCATTTGTTCACCATTTATCCTTTCATATATTCCAATGCACCAATGCATAATTTTACTGTACACCTTCTTTGTTGTTGTCATCTTCACACCAATCCATACTTTTCCTCTTTGCCCCTTTCATAGCTTCACTTTCACAATCTTCTTTCTATAGATTTTCACAAAGATAATACGAGAATTAAAAATTTTTATACTTTCAAAATGTGTTTTCAAATGAATTTTTTATTTACAATTTTAGATTTGTAGTTTTGAAAAAAAAAATGCAATGAACTAAAACAAGACGATAAATACCATCCAAAAAATTTATCAAGAGCCAAAAATTAATTAATATACCATGAAAATTATTAGATTAGTGATGACAGTAGTAAGGAGATGATGACATTTACGTGGGATTGTGAGTTTTCCGATTCATTGTATGGAAGAGTTTTTAATTAAAGGAGAGTGTGAAAAAAAGGTACAAAAAGTAACCCAAATTAGTGGGTATGTTTCGGGCTATTATGGTGGTCGAGGCAGAACGTATTAGCACTTCAGAAGCCCAATCTAGTTATTATTGTTAGGATTTTATTTAAGTTTGGGTATATCAAAAAGGCCCAATGATTTGAAATGAATGAAAATTTGAAAATTGATACTTTTCCCTCTCCCGATCGTAGCTATACTCTGAACTTGAAATTTGTAAGTGTTGATATGATGACATGGTTGATGTGTTGAACGAGAAAGTGCAATGGAGAAGAGGCTTCGCTCAACTCTACTATCCTCTGCGCAAGAATTTATCACCTTAGCCACAAAGCAAACCCTTAAATCTTCAAAATCATCTTTCAAAACCCTAATCAATTCCATTAAACCCTCCTCTCCCCTATGCACTTCTCTTCCTTCCTCTCTCTGCGATTCCATCTCTGCCTCCGTCCAATCCTTCCAGAACCTTCTAGAACCCAATTCCGCAAATCCTAGTTCCACTCGCACCCCTCCTTCCAAGCGCCTCCGTCGCTCTTCCCGCCATTCCGACACCCCCTCCCAACCCCAAGCAGACGAGAAGCACCAAATTCTCCAGCGCCTCGAAATTCTCGCCCACTTATCGCTGCTATGCGTTTCGCACCCCAAAAAACCGTTCTCGCCCTCCGATTTAATGCCCGGCGTGCAGTTGCTGCACGATAATTTGATCGTTTTCGAGTCGGATTCGGTTCTCTCGTCGGCGATTGAGGGTTTGTGCGAAGAATGGTGGAAGGAGAATTTGGCGGGGAGAGAATCGTTGATTTCGCAGAGCCTCCCCTTTCTGCTCTCGAGGTCGCTGACCCTAAAGAAGAAGGTGGACGTGCACAGGGTTTACGTGCTTCGGGAAGCGTTTGCTCTGTTTGATTTTGAGGATGAGAGTATTGAGGATTTGAAGCTCTTGTTGGTTCGATGTGTAATTTCACCACTGTATTTGAAAACGGAGGATGGAAGGAAGTTCCTGGCGTTTATCTTTGGGTTAAGCGATCAGCTTGGGAAGGAACTGTTGGCGATGATTCGTTCACAGATACCGTTTGGAAGGAAGTCGATGCTGGAGGCTTATGGGGATATCCTGTTTCGGGCTTGGAAAGCTGCCCAAGGGGATTCAAGGAGTGAAATTGAGAATGGGTTCTTGCAGGATTTGATTGAGGCTGCCATACATGCCAGTTCTGGAGCTTTTGCTTCATATATTAGGAGGATTTTGGGAGCTTTTATTAACCAGAGGACCACTGACGGGGTTGAGAAGATGCTTTATCGACTTTCTGAGCCTGTCATATTTAGGTCTCTGCAGGTAAATGCATTGTAAAATGAAAAACTTTTTGCTGTTGCATTTTATTTTATTATATGTTGAATTTGGATGCTGCTTTGCAATGTCTCCTTGTAAAGATTGTGTATTATGAGGGTGCTAAGATCAGTGGCTAAAAGAAAAATTAAAAGGTTCATCAAGGTGATTGTTTGCTATTATGTTCTATGCTTTTTTTTTGGTAGAGTAGGCATTCACAGCTCTAGGTCCTTACTGCACATGCTGATATGCGTGAATACCCTTTCGTTGTAAGTGGCCACTAGCATGTGCAGATGGAAAATAAAATAAGCCACCATGTAGCTTTCTGACATGGTATTGGTTGGAGGGGAATAGAGGGGAGTGAAGGGGTTTTAATGAAAACACATTGTTTGGTTCAGAAATTTGAAGGAGAAGGGACTGCGGGGGATAAGGGGGCCAAACTCCTTCCCTTCCACGTTGGGGGAGGAGGGGAATGCTTAATGTTTGCAGATTGAGCTGACTAAAGTATCCTTGATTTTCTTAACAACGTTATCATTGGCCGAAAGCCAAATAGCTGCCATAATAAAATAATGTAATATATATATATATATATTAAAAAACACTGCAGTATGCAATATAAAACCAAAAAACTAACTACATATGTTAAATCAAGAATCTAATTGATAGACAATCATCAAATAATATCATATGCCTCATAACAAGATCTCATAATAACATAATAGCCTAAGTCTCGAAGCACAAGTTCAATACAAACTAAAAGCCATCAAGCCTCAAGTGAAACAAAGTGATAAAAAAAATAAGGAAAATACAAAGACTAATTGAGGAAGCTTGTTTGATTAATCCAATTAACTGCCCTTGGAGAATTTGAGAAAGCTTTTTGTTAGGCTATGTTATGGAAAATTGCTGCTCAAACCAAGGCAGCGGCGTTAGAATAAAAAATGAATGAAAAACAGCGAAGGAAAACTCAAAAGAAAATAAGAAGAAAATCTGAGAAGAGAAAGAAAGTTGAAACAAAAAAAATGGAGAAGGTAAAAAGAATGAAGGAGGATAAAACAAAAACAGCAAAAGACTTGCTCACTGGAAAATGAGGATTGTTGGAGCTCCTGATCATTGGAAGTAGAGAAGGTGAACGGAGGGGATGTTGAGGGAAGGAGATGGGAGGTTGCTGTGGAGAGAAAGACATAGCTAAGACTAAGACTGATAACAGAGGCCAACAAGGTTGAAAGCCTACATTTTAGGGTTTTTTTAGGTTGGGTCAGTGTGGAACTAGGTCAAATTTCTGCCATGGCTGCCATAACCACTGTGACCACCATGCAAATAATGGCCTCCATCACCCGCCATTGCAAACCTGCCATAAGGCTGCCATTTGATAACTCTGTTTCTTAAGTTTAGTGGTTTGATTTTCCTTTCTATTTTGCCTTCCCTTCCCTTGCAAAGAAAACAAGGGTTTCCTGCCATCTCCATTCCTCCATTGAAGTTTCTTTCCCTGATTTTATGGTAGTTAATTAGTTATACCTGTTTATGATTTCATACTGCTTGTAATCAATTAAGGATCCTCTAAGAATTGATTTTCTAAAAAAACATTTTGTTAGATTCACAGTCCTTAAATTTTAATCCGTCATAATATCTACATTAATTTGCCATTAGTCTCTCTGTGTTCAGAATTTGGTTTTTCCTTCTTTTCAATAGGTTGCAAACTCAAATGTTCGTCAAAATGCTTTGCATCTACTTCTGGACATGTTCCCCCTTGAAGATCCTGCTGCCACAAAAGAGGAGAAAGATACATTGTTTGATAAGCAGTTTTTTTTATTAGAAAGGCTACTTACTGATGATTGTCCAGAAGTGAGAACAATTGCTGTTGAGGGTTCTTGTCGCGTCCTTCATCTATTTTGGGAAGTGATACCGTCACCCATCATAACAAAGATATTAACAAAACTATTTGATGACATGTCTCATGATGGATGCAATGAGATTAGGCTTTCTACATTGAATGGGATCATTTATCTACTTCACAATCCCCACTCTCATGAAATCCTTAAGGTGCTCTTACCAAGATTGCGGCACCTAATGTTGGACAATGTCCAAACGGTACGTGTTGCTGCAGCAGATCTCTTACTCCATCTAAAGGATGTCAGAAATTTTCAGTTCAACAAGGTACACATATTCTTAAACTTAGAATTGCTTGAGAAAATCCTGTGTCTAATGTATTTCCTAATATTATCAGTTATTGATTAGTCTGTTCTTCTGTTTGTTATATAGGTGGTGGAGCTAGATTTGCTATTGTCTGTGCTTGCTAGTGATCAACCTCCTGTAGCTCAGAAGATAACAAAATTACTTCTACCTTCATACTTTCCCTCAAAAGTACCAATTGAGGAGGCATGTAATCGCTGCATTACACTTGTAAGAAGGGCTCCAGTGGCTGGTGCAAAATTTTGTAAGTTTGTGATCTTGGAAGGAGCATCTAAAACTCAACTTATGGAACTGGTCAAAGCATTTCTCAGTTTGGTTTTGTCACAGGAAAAGCTGGATGAAAATCAGATTGAGGGTTTTCTTGTTGCTACTAGCTACATTTGTGATAACTTAGCATGTGAACCATGCTATACAAATGCCCTCAAAGAGTTACTTACTGGGGAGAAAGTGAGACATTTACTAACTGTGGCATCTAGAGGCCAAGCACAATCCTCTTTATTCAACATTGTCTCCACTGTCTGTCCAGATGATGTTACTGGACTTCTTGAAGAATCTATGGGTGTTGTCACAAACTGCAGTGGTTTACCTGAGGATGTTGATCACCAATCTGAAACAAGGTCTGCGCATAAGTTGTTGCTTTCACTGGGTGGTTTTGATGACATGTTTGAAGCCTTAACAGCCCTCTTGCATAAGGGTGCCTATCGTTGCCACATTAAATTTGGTGTAGACATGCCATCTCATAGTGTTTCATTTGCTGAAAGAAAGAAATCTAAATCTTCTGGAAAATTTTCAATTAAATCAAAGATAATTAACAGAAAGCAATCTTTTGAGGATGATTATTTAATAGCTGTTGGGGTAGCATGGCAAGTTAGAGATTTGCTTCAGCATGAAGATACCAGAAAAGCTATTTTCAAATCTCAAACTTTAGAAATGATGTTTTTTTCTCTTAAGGTGATTTCTGAGGTCAGCATTGTGCATTGCGGGCACTGTGAATACATGGATGTATCTCCTGTTTTGGCATATATTGCCCTTGCACTACAAATGACTGTTGATAATGGAGGCAGAATTAATATACAGAATGGTGATATGAAGAAGAAGAAAAACAAGAGTGATTCTTCTTCTACATTGCTATCAGAGGCAAGTAGAATCTCTTTTGCTTTTTTTTTTTTTTTTTTAATAATTGCTTGTTTGAATACATCTACCTGACTTTCTTGCATCTTTGACATTCTGAGTTTTTTTGTTTGTGTATTTTTCAAATGATTTTTCGCAGTTATATTTAATTGCCGCATACCTTAATGCCAATGGTTTTCTCTGCTAATTTATCAAACCAATTTGTATTTGTTTGACTTAAAATATTTGCCTCATTTTTTTTTTGTTTCTTTCTATTTTATAATAACTTTTTATAGTGAACTACGAATAAAATACAGAATATATATGGTCAGCACCAAAGTAATACTTAATGGAAGTTTAGAAATACATTAACTTCGTGAATTTTAGTGTGCACCAATGAATTTTGAACTTTCTAGCAGCTGCAATATCTTGTTCAATTAGTGGATGATATAAGTTCTCCATGGAATTTGGTTCTGATCTTCTTTTGTCCTATTTTATTGGTTGATTTTCAGTTTCATTATCTTCCAAACTATAAATTTCAATCATCTAGTCTCTATTAAAAATTTATCCGGTTAAAATACATATCTAGTCTCTATAGTTGACACTCATTTATTTATTAGTCTCTATTAAAAAATTAATGTTTTAGTTTCTATGAATATTTCATTATGCTTTGGTTCATACTAGTACTATATGAACAAGTACTTTTTCTAATAGTGTTAAAACAACAAGAATTAGAGTGTAACAAGACACTTGTGTAGCGATTAATATATAAATGTTGATTATCTGAACTTATTTGTAAATGAATGTCATATAGGGTTCTAATGTGTATTTTAACCTATTTATATGTAGTTCACTAATTTAGTTTGTGTTTTGAGACCTTCCGTTCTGTTGATGAATTGATAATACAATAACCAGATTGGTTTAAGTTATGGCTTGCCTAATTTGTTTACCCTCTTAACTCTTAAACAGAATGTGTTGGAGTTGACAATAGATCATGTGCTCAACTGTTTAGAAAAATTATTTGGAGCAGATGACATGAAAAAACAGTATGTGGATTCATGTAAGTTGAAGTCTACCAAAAGAACAAATCAAAATACCACCAAAAGGCGTAGGTTATCGCCCACAGATACGCATCATCCAAATAACGGTGGTAAGTAAATATGTATATACTGTTTTGTAGGGCTGATAATGGATCGGGTTGTCTTGACCAAATGCAATTAACTCTAGCATGCTGGGAAAAGAAAAAATGTAGCTCAAGCACAATAAGTGAAGCACCTCAATTATTTGCAGCTCTAAGTCAATCATTAAAATAATAAAAAAAATGATTTGCTCTATGGTAAACAATTAGATAGGTTCATTGGGTCTGGACCTATGAGTATTTATTCACATATTTCTCATGCTTTTTGAGTTCTAATCAAACCACTCTTTACACGTTTCTCCTCTTTTGGCCCTCGTATTTTAAAAGCATTATTAGGCAATCTTTAATATGGGAATATCACACTAAACCCTTAATTATAATTACCAACAAAGATCGAGAGTGTAGACTGTGATATGCTGCAGTGTAGCAAAATTCTGCTTTTTTATTTGGACTGACCTAGAGTATTTGTTATATTATGATTATGATATTCAATGATTTCATCATTAGCTTAGCTTGGAATAAACATCATTTTTCTGCAGAGAATGGAAATTTTCTTTCTAGAAACAAAGTTCTTGCAGTGGTGTTTGTGTTTGGCCCCTAGTTGCTAATTGATTATAACATTTAACAAGCTATATTTGAGTTTACATATGTCTTCGTCTATGTCTTTGTATTTTTTCTCCTGTGTTTGTTTGTGACTAATTGTTTAAAAACATATGCATAGGATCATCTGTATACAAAGAACCCCAACAAGTTTTTTGTATGGTGAAGATGCTTACTGCTGCTCTGAAATTCATGGGTGATACCTCTGCAATGTGTTTTGCTCCTCACAACCATGGATTATTCTTACATTACACATCAAAATGTGTGCAACATATCATATCTTCATTGGATCAGTTATGTCAAAAGAAAATTCAATTTAAGGAAGAGGATAAAAGAAATGTTATTTTTTGTCTGAAAAGCTCTTTCACCTATGCAGCAAAAATTCTCAATAGGATACTCACAGATTCTAGTGGATCCTCTATAACTCCAGAAAAAGCTCTTGATCTTGCCAATAACTTACTTGATTTAATCATTTCAATTGAATTGTACTTGGGCTCTGGGTATGCATTACGTCTTGTTGCAGCAGCAAAGCCTTGGCTGCCTGATGTGCTTCTGGCGTTGGGATCTACAAGTATTCTACAACAAAACTGTGGTGCCGAACAAATAAGTGCATCTGAACAAATGAAGTTACATTTTCCAAAATGGCCCTTGATTGTAGCCAAGACTGAGCGCTTCAGAGTAAATGAAGCTGAAGAAAATGATGAATGTCCTCAACCAGAGAAATTCTCAGCATTCAATAAGCTTTTGGCAATGCTGATTATATTACTGAAAAAAAATCCTAGTATAACGGATGCTGTTGGGGTTATTTTCCTGATCTCTTCACATGTTGGGCTTGAACAAAAGGACTTTGGGCTGGCATTAGGACTCTTGCGGTTTGTTTGTTTTAAATTGTTTAAACATGATGACAGGGATTGGGGTGACGAGATGCTGTCTTCTCTGCAAGAAATCTATCCTAAGATAGAGAGGAAAATTACAGAAGAAAATGATGAAGATGAACTGGAGAAATTAGTCTGTGCGAAGGAGTTGATTGAACCTCTTTGGATGTATCATCTATATGAAACTGGACGGGTCATCATGACTGATGACTAAAAATTGTTTTATTTGCTCCATTTGTAGGAATTTGATAGTATAGTTTATTAAGGCCACATGTATATAACTTTTACAATTGGCAACAATAAAACAAACGGTATATTTTGTCAATATACTGCTGTTTTATATCCACGTACTCTGGCTTGCATTTACTTCAAAGCTTCCTTTTTCTAAAACAAGTTTGATTTTTTTATTGTTGACTAGGAAAATTGTATTCTTAAAAAGGAATAAGTGTAGTGAGAAACTCGGTCACGAGAATTTGATATTACAGATGGATCCTCTTTAGTGAACAGCTTCACTGCATTGGATCTCATCCCTTTGAATTATATAATATTAAATTTAATTAAATAATAAATTTTTATATATTTTAATGGCTGGATTTAAAACTGCACCTTTACAGTGAACTTCACACTTGGAGGATCTCAATTCATTTGTCATCCTATGAACCGTGTTTACAAGACAAATTAAGGCCATAAACGAGGAAATAATGCCTTTAAAATAGTGGAAGGGGCAATTCAAAATCACCATTATAGAACATAAACAAACAAATGGAATTTGTTCCCACAAATTCAAACAAACGGAACAAGGCTGGTAATTTACTTATTTATCTACCCGATGTATTTCAGCAACAAGACTCGACATTATCTACAGCAATGAGTCTAGATTTTCATCCATCATTCTACTGGACTAGAAAATAAATAATGTATTAAATAAAATGGTTAACGGGTGGTTTGTCAGCCGCTTGCTGATGACTGCAACGAGGCTCTAGAGATCCACTTCGTTGCTCCATTTCTGATTCTAACCCAAGAAAGCCTCGAGCAAAAGAGTTAGCGAATGTACAAGAATAAGCCACGGGCCCACTTCTTTATTACGTTGAAGAATTAGCGTTCACGTGCTTCAGACAGGAATCTTCTTCAAGCGAGCAGCAATAGGCATGCCCAAAAATCCAACAAATAAGCAAAAGAACCACTGTGTCAGAGAGAGAGGTGTTGTGTTTGCAAAGGTTCCCAAGTACTCAACTATTATGATTTGGAAGAAAACAGTAGCACTGATGACACCCACGAAAACATAATTATCCAATATTCCTTTAAAAACGTTTATCTTCTCCATCTCACGTGAGTTGATCTCATTGAAAACCTGTAGAACCAAATCAACCAGTAAGGCACATTTGAATCATATATATTCCTAAGCAAATAGTTCAGTTGTTGTTTAAAAATTACCTGACAGAACACAAAAGAGTTGAAAATAAGCGTGTTTAAGACCAGATCCGTATCGGGACCATCGAGTAAAAAGATTGATTTTCCTCTTGATTGAAGAAACCATATAACCATAAACTGATACAACGATTGTCCTAATATGTTCCTCCACATGACATTGCTGATGAAATTCCCCTTCCTTCCAACAGGTGAACGCTTCATTAAATCATCATTTGGAGGTTCAGTGGCAAGTGCAAGTGCTCCCAGTGTGTCCATTATCATGTTCACCCACAAAAGCTGAACAGCTGTCAAAGGCGCAGTTCCTGGGGGAGAGAAAATGCATGTAAATAAGAGCATAAGATAAAAAAGAATAAGGAAACAAAAGATGTTTCGATCATTGGCCTTTTTTTGTAACAAAAATAATTTCTAACCTGTCAAGCATGCGGAAGTGAAGTTCACAATTAATGCAACCACATTAACGGTCAACTGAAACTGAACAAATTTCTGAATATTTATGTAAACTGAACGTCCCCATTTGGCCACTGTTACTATTGTGGAGAAGTTATCATCCAGAATTATGACATCTGCACTTTCTTTTGCAACCTGTACATATATTATGAAATTAGCTTACAATTGAAAATTTAAGAGTTAAATGACTAAAATGCATTACAACATTTCCTTTTCTTTTCTTTTGATTTCAGGTTCAAAAAGGGAAACATTGCATAGCATAGCACTCACCTCAGTTCCAGCAATACCCATTGCAAGTCCAATGTCAGCTTCATGAAGGGCTGGGGCATCGTTAGTTCCATCACCAGTTACAGCTACCACTTCCCCAAATGTAGTACGCAAGTGTTTCACCAATGTATGTTTGTCTAAAGGTGAGGATCGAGCCATAACCTGAAAGGAATGAAACACTATGTTAGTGTGTGATTAACACAATAAATCGAAATTTTGTGCATATAGAAGGTATGTAGCACCTGAATTTTGGGAATCAGTTCAAGCAACTCTTCCTGACTCTTCTCTCTAAAGTCTGGACCTTCAATGGCTATGCCATCATCAGTTAAAATCCCACATTCCCTGGCTATAGCCTTTGCAGTATTAATGTTGTCCCCTGTAACCATTCTCACTTTTATTCCAGCTGAACGACACATTGCTACAGACTCCTTAACACCAGGACGAACAGGATCTTTGATACCAACAACTCCTATACAAGTATATCCAGAGACAGGAATAGGGTTCTCTGCTGAGAACCCATTTTCCAATTCCATGTAGGCAAGGCATAGAGTTCTAAGTGCTTCACTTGCAAACTGGTTTATTGTAGCCTTAAGATGGTTAGTTGATTCTTCATCAAGTGGGACAACCTCACCATTAGCGTTGAGAACTTTGTCACAAGCAGCCAGAATTATTTCAGAAGCACCTTTACAATGGGCTCTTAAACCTCCACCAGGAAGCTCCACCACCACACTCATTTTTTTCTTGGTAGAGTTGAATGGCTCAACTTTAACAAGTTTACATGCTTGTCTCTCTCCTTGAAAGTCTCCACCTAATGACAAGCCAAACTCCAATATTGCAGTCTCAGTTGGTGTCCCTAAAATCTCATGTATTCCATGTTTGTTAACCACAACCTCTCCTCCTGTATTATTGAATATTGACTGTAGCAGAAGCTTCACGGCAGCTTCTGGGAGTTCAGAGCACAAACCAGAATCCTTATTGCTCACTTCCTTGCTGTTCATGCAAATGCATGTTTTCACAACAGTCATGTGATTGGTTGTTAGCGTCCCAGTCTTGTCACTACATATAGTTGTGGCTGATCCCATGGTCTCGCAGGCTGCCAAATGTCTGACAAGGGCTTTGTCATTCATCATTTTCTTCATAGCAAATGCAAGGCTCAGTGTCACAGCTAATGGCAGCCCTTCTGGAACAGCAACAACAACAATAGTAACTGCAACTGCAAAGAACTCCAACATCTCCAGCGCATCATCCCCAGTCCAACTAGATAAACTTCCTTGTTGGAGTTTTTGGCTAACAAGTCCTTGCACCAGAACTGCAAAAGTAACAACGGCAAAGAATAAACCAATCTTCCCAATAATGGTTGCCACACCATTCAATTTCACCTGCAATGGGGTTTCATCATCTCCACCTTCACTGAGAGTAGCCATCAACTTACCCCATTGAGTCCTCATGCCCACACTGGTAACCAACATCTTGCATGATCCATCTTGGACCTTGGTTCCAGAAAGAAGAAATGGATTTTCAGAACTTACCATCACTGGCTCACTCTCACCTGTTAAACTTGACTCATCAATCAACACAGAAAACCCTGAGACAAATAATCCATCAGCAGGGACTTGGTCACCTATGCAGAGATGCACAATATCACCAGGAAGTAATTCATATATTGACATTTTCTGCCTATATCCATTTCTTGTGACCTGCATGGAAATTTTCTTCTTCTCCTTGTCTAAATCCTTGAATTGTAATGATTGGCGATAATCACTTGTTGCTGTCACAAAGACAACAAGTAAGATACTTGCAACAATTCCAAGACCGTCATGAGCCCCCTTGGGCCATCCTTCTGTTGCAATGCCAACTATCAGAGACACAAAAGCACACACTCCAAGTATCATGAGAGTCATGTCTTGAAGGGCTTCCCAAACAAAAACCCAGAAACTCTTAACTTCACTTTCAGTAAATTTATTGATTCCATATATCTGTTGTCTCTTGTTCAGTAACTCAATATCACTGCTGAGCCCCTCAGTGGTTGATGCAGAAAGCTTCTCTGCAATGCCATTAACCCCACCATGATATCTGAACTTCTTTACATCATGGCCTTCAACAATAGATCCCAATTCATCACCGCAGATTTGAAAACCTGCGGCTTTAACTTCCTCTGGCACTTTGTAATCGCTTAGTTGCGCGCCTGTGGATATGATCACAAGTAAACACATTGAATCTTCAATTTATAAGCTACGAGAATAGTTCTGAAGAAACTTACCTTGGATAAATTGAAATGCAGCTTTGGAAACCAAAACTGCGACCCTCAGCTTCTCCTGCAATAAGGAGATAATAAGTCTTCAAGAAATAAAACATCGTATGCATTGAGGAGATAAAAAAGTAATCATATTGTGTACAAGTTTTCTCAAAGTCCCTTATGCAGATAAAAAAAAAGCGTATGAAGTTGGATGGAGAGAATCACAAACAGTAAAATGTGGAGAGAATCACAAAGAATATGAAAAAGAAAAAGAACAGTACAACAATAAATGGGGGATAAAGTGTAAACCAAAAGTAAAAACAAGAATAAGTATGTTTCTTTTGGAGCATAGACCAGCAGGTGGATGTAATCAAATGATGGTCATTCCTGAACCTTCCATAATTATCTGGTCGAAGTGTTATTCCTTGTAGCCTGGTATAATGCATTTTATATCTTAAATCCAAATTGTCCATGTCCCATCAAAATACAAAATATAAAACCCCAGAGTTGCTCATTAATGATTTTCTGTTCATGTCCAATATGGAATTTAAGCAACATTAAAGTTGCTCAACTGCCAATATGATAGGCTTAAGATCAATACGCATGCAAACTTTTAGCGTCAAGTACATGCTTAGTAAGATTGAGATACAAGCACAAGTCTTGAGATTAACTTGAAAATAGTGAAGTGGGAGGGCAAGGGATCAAGGGAGGTAACGTGAACATATATTGGCATTTTGGCTAAATTTCGAATTTTTGCAATTGCTGCTTAACGCCTTTAACTACTTTTGCTATTCAATTTTTAAGTAGAAGGTGTGTGTATATTGATTAGAGTCTATTACACATTCAGATAAAGAAAACTAATTACAAGTACCAATGTTAGTTGGACGATATGAAGCAAAGATATAGCCAAAGCCCAACAAATACCTCCAAAATATATAAATAGAAGGACATTTTATAAATCGATTTATCTAACATGTACAAGTTTATTTATCCAATCTATGCAAATTTGCACAGGATAGATAATGTATTAACCCTCATTAATTATACACTTTTAACTTATTTTCTAATAACTAATTAAGCACTTTTCAAATTAACCTTTGCAAGTTCACACAGGATAGATAAATCGTAATCAGACGTGAAAAACAAGATTAAGAATGACGAGAAGTAAAACTAAATTGCCATTGACTTTAAGCAACGGTTTAGGTTACATGGGAGTATGATGCTGTTTAGCACCCGTCTGGTACAGCATGGCTCGTTTCTTGAAACTTCAGTGTCTTAGTTTTAATTAAGCATGTCCTTTATTAAAACAAAAGCTTTGGGAGAGGGTCTTTCAACTGTAATTAATAGGAGATATTTTTTTTATCCCGGTCGATACTTTATATAAGAGAAAATGCCAATTAGTGATTGCAGAAATTAGTTATTAAGGAATTATATTGTAACCTTGTACAAAATTATTATTTAACCAGTACTTTAATGTTTAGGAGTCAGGTAGATTTAAGTCTGAAAAATTGAAAATAGGTAGAATAGAAAAGGATACCTGATTGTCACGGCGCATAGCATTGGCTACGCTCCGCTTGTAGAGATTGGCAGTGAAACGAAAGCGTCTTTTGGGGTTTTTGACGACACTGCATAGTTTCCTCCATCTTTGAAGAGCTTCTTCAGAGGTGTTTTTGGGCTTTACTCCTCCAAAATTCTCATTTAAAAAACTCTCTAACATCTTTCAATCTTCCAATAATAGTGAACACTCTTTGCTTTCCTTTGCTTGTATGAAGTGTTACTATTTTGATGCCTTTGTTTATGAACTACGAAATAGAATAGACTCGGAGACTCTCAAACTGTGGTGATATAAAAAGGCATGTTTGTGAGTAATTGTTATGAAATGAAGAACAAGTAATAGCAGCCTTCTTGGAAGTTAGGTATCAGACCATTACTTCGCGGAAAGAGACAGAGAGAGGTGGGTGGCTGAACCTCGTTACAAGGCACGGTCGGTGATTTTTCTCAACCTCGTCCTATCCTATGCTGTCCTTTATTCTATGTGACATGAAAACACAGAGGAAGAGATAACCCTAGAGAATGGAGAGCTTTATTATTAAGTACCCGAAAATGAATTCAATAACGGTCACTTCTCTCTAGGCTTGGGCAGGGTCAAGAGATGAGCCTAATATTAAAATTAAATTGCCGTTATTTTGGTTTTTGAAACTCTTGTAGGGGTTAGATATAGAAACTTTGAAATTTATAGGCCACTAAGAAGAATTTGCTAGTGGAGATTCTTTATATTAAGAGGGGGTTCATTTTTCGTTCATCTTTATTTTATTATTCCATTCACTGACTTTTTGTTGTTGCAAATAAACCACGCGCTATTCTTTAATGCTTTTTTTCATATTTCATATCAATATGGAACCCATTCCGTCCGCGTTTTTTCTGTATTAATAATGTCAGAAATCATGAATCAAAACGCGTGAAAAGGACGTTTCCAAGGTTAAAAAATGCAAAACGCGTAAAAGGAAAAACCAATGACTCGGAACTTTTCCTTTTGGTCTGCCAAATACTCGGACCTTTTACGTCCCTCCAAAAAGGACTTGGGGCCGTCACCAAACACCAGTCTTTTACACGCTCCGTTTGGCAGGTTTTTAATCTAATTATTGTTTTTTTTAAATAAATTATTAGATTATAACTTCTTTTAAATTTACTTCATGTTTAGAGTGAATCTCACGACATAAGTTTAGTTATTACCACTGATGATATTTTAATTTTAATTTTTAAAAATAAATTTTTCATAAAAAATATAAAATTTTAACAAGTATCCTAATCGAATAGCTACTAAAGCATGTGTATAAACTTAAAATGAGAAACATAATCTTCCTTACGAGGTTATAAAATTATTTGTCAGGCTAACAAATGGAATCATGAATTAGCTAATGCTTATGAAATATGTAAAGAAATTAAATTTTAATTTTGAGCAATAGATCCTCTATAATTCAATAATTATTATTTATTCTATTAATAATTAATTATAATTAAACGCAATTTTTTTTAACATTGAGCCAAATATAATAAAATATATATTTTAATAAGATTCGTAACTATATATAATGCTATATTTATTTTTAAAAAATAAAATATTAAATATCTTTGTCTAAATGGCGAAATTTGCTATCTTTCACTGAGGATCAGAATTTTACACTTCTGCTTATACAATTTTTTTTTTTACTTAAATAAAAATATAAAATTTTGCTTCACTAAATTGTTTAGTTCACACTAAAATGAGAGAGAATCAAGATCCCTTTCATTAGAAGCTCCACCAGCTTCCCTCCATGGGTGGTGAGTGTCGAAAGCCCGTTTTGGTAACGTGCTTTTATGAACAAAGTTAGTGGATGAACAGGGGCAAAAGGGTCATTCGACAACCCACTGGTTTGATGCTGATCCTTGAAGCAATACGGCAAAGGCAGTGTCTAAATAACAATTAGCTTCCATATCAATCGCGTTTAACCGTAGATTGCAATTACTACAAGGAATCTGAATCTTAACATCAGCGTCAAAAGACAGCAAATTATAAATGGTGACACTTGTTAGAAAACATGTAGCTAGATTTAATAAGATAAAGAATTAGCTTTTAAAAAATTATAATTTAATAAAATTTTAATTTTTAAAAATAATAATTAAATAAAAAAGGTCCAATTTGGCCTTATCACTTGATTTGAGGTGAACATTAGAAAACAAAATTAATGAAAGTAGCTTTCTGTCTCTGGAATATGATTTTGACTTAAAGTTATCAGATTTAGAATGGTATAACAAGTTACTATTGCAAGGATTTCGACTTAAATGGTTTGCAATTGAGATAACTTGGAACTTTAAGAATTTAGGTCGAAATATAGAAATTGTTTGTACAGAGTATAACACTGATGAGCATTTTTTTTATAGGACACGTGTAATATTTTAATAGTATTTAGTGAAAGGGATCGTGATTTAGAAATAAAAAATTTTCTTATCTTTTTTTTTTCTATTTTTGATATCTTTAAAGTTGTTCTATTTATTTTATTTATTTATTCATGATTTCTTTAATTCTTTTAAACTTTATCGATTTAGTTGTAAATTGATTTTTCATTATAGATTGTATTGGATAAATTGGACATTGAATTGCTTAATATTATTAATCAATTTTTAGTCCAAAGAGTATCTTAAAGATATTTGAATCTTTAGTTGATTCGACTAAAACTCGAAAATGCACTGATATAATATAGTCATATAATTTATCAACATATTATACAAATTTTAATACTATTTGTAATTAAAATACAAAATAAAACTAATATATTTTAAAAAAACGAATGCAAATAAATTATCATACTAAATACTATATAAAATATTATTAACTGCATAAAAAGTCTTGTTATTAGTATACATGTGTTAAAAAAAAACATAGCACCTTTATTTTACTTAGGATAGCTTGAATATAATCCACACACGTCTAAAATAGCTTTAAAATAAGACTTCTTTTGAACACCCTAAAACCTTAGTTTCTATGTTAAGCATTACGCTTAGGAGATGAAGATACAATTCAAATGGTAATTGTTATTCTAATTAAGAAGACGACAAGATAAAACATTCATCTACAATTCCAATATTGCAACATATTTTCGTTCCTAATTATCAAAGAGAAAACATTGCCTAGAGCAATAAATTTAATTATTTTATAAAAATAATTCTAAAACTTACAAATTTTTATGCATAAACTATTCAAATAGTAAAAAACATTTAAAATAAGAAATATTAATAAAATTATAATAATAAATCTTACATACTTTTTAATAAATATGTCTAAATACATGAGCCGAAGTAATTTCAACACAATAAGTAGTCACAGTAATATCAATTACAACATTAGAGAATTACCCAACAACCATACTAAACTTCTTAATAAGTAATTTTCTTTTTTCTTGAAAGAGCTTTCAGACGAATTCTCGATTTTTTTTCAAAATTTTCGTTTAAATCACTCTCCATCACCTACTAATCTCAGCTTTTCAACCCTTTCTCTGGCATTATAACCTTGGAAAGTGATAGAGTTATTAAACAAAAATTTTCGCAAAAATAAAGTGGACGAAATGCTGGGTTCTGGAAATCCTCACAGGTACACCTATATACCATAAATTTATATATCAGTGCAATAACAATGGGAATAAGAACTAATTTTAAGTTCCGAGAACATTTTGTTTTTCGCAATTTGTATTATATGGTATAAACGGCATAGGTAGAGGGAAAGTTTGAGAGGACTTGGACCCCTTCATCAAAAGGAAGATACTAAATGGGGCATCACAGCCAGGAGCCACGTTCGAAGAAGAAAAATCATTTCGACTATCTTATAAATTGAAAGAAATTAACTTTTAAGTACACTTTTCCGTGAAAGAAATATTTGAACCAGAAATAATTGTGACAAGAAAATATTGAGAGTGATATCTTATTCATTTGAAACGAAAGATGACTTATATAAGTCTTTATAAAAATAAAAAATGAATCAAAAAGTTACGTATTACAGGACAACAAAACAGGAATTAAAGAAACTATTCTAAAAAAATAGAACTTCTCTTAGAACTAGGACTTATTAACAAATGTAAATTAATAAAACACGTTAAGTAACAAACTTTGACTAGCATTCCTTCTCTTAAGTTAATGCATCTGCAATTAGCTTATTTAAGTGATCTTCATTACTCCAACATGATTTGAAGCTTTTCAAACTATTCAAGCTTTAACGGTTTTTTTGTCATTATGTCTGGAGCTTGTTCTTCAGAGCTGCAAAAACTCAGTTGCACAACTTCGTCATTTACTAAATCTATGAGAAATGAAACTTTACTGTAATATGTTTGCTTCTTCCATAAAAAACTGGATTTCTGGACAATTGAATAGTAGAATTATTGTCACATAGTTGTCGTAACTAGGGTCACGACGGGACGGCGATGATAAAGAGTCGCCACCAAAGTTTATTAAAGAAAATATTGAAATTTTTTTTAATTAAAATAAAATCTTCAAAACCAAATTTGGGCTCGGAGTCGTTTACGTGTAAGGAAGGTATTAGCACCTTAAAACGTCTATTGGTTAAAACAGTTACCTTCTAATTAATTGTGCAAAATTTTATTTTAACTTTAAAAACATTTATTTCACTCTAAAAGAAACTAATTAATATTTTTTTTACTATTTTCAAATTTGTTATTATTATTATTCTTAGATTTATTTCTAATTTTTACAAATTTTTTGAGAGATTTTAATTTTATTTTTTTTAAATGAGGAAACACAATAAAAATTATTTGAATTAAAGGAATGAGTTATTTGTAAAAATATTATTCTTTTTTTTATTTTTTGCATTAAAGAAATATATAGTAAAAAAACTTATCCTAACATTTTATTTTTTATTTTTTATTTTCTATTTTTTAAAATAAAATAAAATTTTCGTTTTTTTTTATTTTTATAAAAAAATGTGCTAGAAATTAATCTTGGTTTAAAATAATTTTAAAAATAATTTTGAACCTGAAAAAAAAATTAAAAAAAAATAGACTTGACAGGTCAGGTTCCCGCTCTTACGTATCGTCCGTGTGTAACATAGGAATCAAAGCTACCACGTAGTTTTTTTTTAAAAAATTGTATTTTAGATAAGTTTCAAAGATTTTCTATCTTTTTTGTTTTTTTGAAAAAACTTGATTTTTCTTTATTATTTTTTTTAAGTAAATCCACTCCCACATAGGGTTCAAGTTAGCATACGGCTACTCAATAAACCCTTACAATCCAAGCAACGTTGAAGGTGGATCCTCCACTCTATCAAAATTACTTGGCCGTTGCGTAAATTCAAAAAACTCTCTTTTTTTTAATAATGAAAAATTAATATACCTTTTAATATGAGATTTTTGCACGTAAAAAAGAAACAAACAAGAGACATATAGAACAAATATACAAATACAAGAGCAAACAAAAATGATGAGGAAATAACTCTTATTCGATTTAGGAATTAAGTTTTTCTTTTTTAAGGTTAGGATATGCAAAGAAATTAGGGTTTTTAGAATTTATGAAAAGAAAAAAAATTTAAGATTTAGAAAAATTAAATTTTTATAATTTTCAAAATTGTGAGGGTTGAAAAAAATGGTTTGTTTTAGACCTTGCAAAAAATTGAATGATTTTGAGTTAGAAAA